CATCATCATCACCATCATCACCACCACCGACAATCATCACCGTCATCAACATTAAGGAGAAACTCCTTGTGTTACATGATAGCAGTAGGAACAATTTTTCTTGTTATCACATATCCATCTATATCCCTATTCATCTTTTCTTTCCAATCTCCTCAACTATTCCACCAACCACATTGATTATTCCACATAACATCTCCATCAACTTCATTCCTCTAATCAACCACCATCTCACGCAACTCCAGTTTACCCAGACTACGAAAAACTGCGGTTATAATCTCAGTTTTCATTCGTATATATCCATAATGTTCTATCGCCTCGCGTAAACCCTTAAAGTGCCTATCACCCTACTGACAATATTCACAGTATTGATTCTACATGGGGTAAGATGTTGAATAACCCGAAAAAAATTCATAGTTTGAGTGCAGCTTCTTGTAGTTATGAAGGTTTTTCCATGTCATATGCTAATGCGTTGACGTATGAGAAGGCATTTATGGTTATTTGTTGTTCCTCGTAATTCGAAACACCGCGGGCTTCTATGTGAAAAATAGCTTGCAATAATTTCTATAAGAGCAATGGGCAAAACAATGACGTATTTCAAATTTAATTTATCTGTGCCAGTAATGTTTTGTATATTAAATGATTACTCCTCATACGTCACAACATTAGCATATGGCATGGAAAAACCTTCATAACTACAAGAAGCCGCACTCAAACTATGAAATTTTTTCGGGCTTTTCCACACCGTAACAAATTGTTTGAAAATCTAATTGATATTAACTGGCACTTCCTCGGAGAAAATGGGCAAAACCTTTACCATGTTAAGAAATGTTTTCGTTTCGCTCTATATTAACAAATAATACATTTAAAAAATCTAAACGTTATCATTTGCCCATAGAATAAAATCTCTATGGTAGTGATGAAGTTAATTGCATGTCCGTTGATAAGTGGATTCTTTACGTCATACGTGGGCGACTCAATCAAGACAATTAAACATGGAATAGAACTCTAAGAGAAATGTAAAAAAAAAATCTTGATTTATATCTCCCAGCGATATTCCAAATGACGTACCATATCTAGAGGCAAGAACGAAAAAGATCCTTTATCTATATTTCACCCAATAAATTTCCTTAAAAAATTCCCACTACTTCCGACTAGTTTGTAGAGTTGTTTTTTAAAATTGTGTTTTTGACAAATACTCAAGAGACCATTCGTGTCTTTTGTTTGATAAATGTTCTGGTTGAGTGCTAGCAACTATTAGTCACTAAATAGCTACTGTTTGTCAGTATCAACTTTGTTTTTATTTCATGGTTTTACTGCATGCGCTCTATATGGAATATTCAAGTTATATTTTGGCACTTCGTTTGACAATATCGTTAAAATGTTGATCAAAAATTTCCAGAGAACCAACTTCCTTCCTTCCTTCCTTGAATATTCAAGTTATATTTTGGCACTTCGTTTGACAATATCGTTAAAATGTTGATCAAAAATTTCCAGAGAACCAAGTATGTCAATTTATTTTTTTAAAACTGATCTGGATAAATACTTTTGTTTAAATCCCCCTACAATGATCTTTGTAAATAACTCGTTCAAATCCTCGGAATTTCATTCGTGTYTATATACGAGGGTCTGGATTGTTTCAGATGTCCAGAATTCGCTTATTTGTCGATTAGGATTTTGTCAGTTGTCAATGTAATTTGTTAATTTGTTGCATTTGTAAAAACCCACCCCGACCTTCTGTTACCTGTGACGTCAGAAACGGTTTTACGTAATAATAATCTTTTTCAGTTTTAACTTTGCCGCAATGAATCACGAAGAGAAAATTCGGAGATGTTAACTATTAGTTTATCACCTAGACTCTCTGTTCTACGTTTGCCTCGGGTACTGAATGTTAACAGAATTCATTTGATCGAACTGCGTGAGAGAGATAGTTTGCTAGGCCTAGGGAAGATTGACGTGCTTGGAAACATTCGGTGACAGCCTGTAAAGTCGTACCCTGGTCCCAGAGGCTCGACGTTTTTTTTCCCGGTTCGAAATATACGTGGTGAAAAATCCTCGAGCCTCTGGGACCAGGGTAGTAAAGTCGCCCGTTGACCGTAAATGAGGAAAGAAAATGGATGTAGAAAGAAAGAGAAAAGGAAAGAATGAATCAATGAAAGAAAGAAAGGAAGAAAGGAAGGAAGAAAGAAAGAATTCACTTTGAGAAATAACATCTTAGTTTAAGAAGAAGAAAAATATACATATAGTTAACAATATTTTTGTGATTTCGTATTATTTGATAGAAGCAACTCACTTTGTAGTAGCCAAAGCAACGCCACACTTGAAAATTTTATATTTATCGATAACAGCTGTTTCCAAGAAATTCAGTGATCGTAAATCAACTTTACCTTTCAAAGAAAAACACTTTATTGGTCAGTATTTCTTACTTTATAAATTGCTCTTAAAACAGAAAAAAATATTTTTCAAAAACATCACGTACTTCTCCGCCCTCAAACTCAAACTTCTCTGCTTTTACAACGATTATCTAAACTCTGTTAACAAAATATCGCGTTCAAAGCCTTGTAAGTGATTTTAACTCATTATTTCTGAAACATTAAGAACAATTCTTGGATTTTCCGAGTCTGGTATTACTTGAAAAGCTTGATGAGTCAACAAACTAAACAGTTTTTTTCCTTCACTTCACTGGACAGACAAAACTAATTATACCTGTTCACGCTATATGTCTAAAATAAGCTTATCGTGTGGTGTTCGTCATTAAAATTTGATAAAGCAGGCGTACAAAATAATAATATATGTATTTAAATGATTGTCAGACCTTTGGGTCTCACAGTCTCCTTTAGCTTTCGGAAGACGAACTTGGAAACTCCCGAACGTTAAACCCGAAGGTTTGGTAGTCAAAGATTCAAGATCTTCAGTACATCAACACTCAAGACTTCAATGCTATCTTCTCAATACATGTATTTAAATGGTTATCAGACCTTTCGGCCTCACAGTCTCGTTTAGCTTTCGAAGGACGAACTTGGAACTCCCGAACGTTAAACCGGAATTTTTGGTTCTTAGAGATTCAAGATCTTCACTACTTCAACACTCAAGACTTCAATGCTATCTTCTTAAGAATCAGAATTTTGAATAACACTTAGCTCGTCGGGTGAGCTTCAGCGAAGAGTCAAAAGGAGGTTTCTTCCAGGCTTGATAACATCCGAAGATTATTTTGACCTCAATTGTAAGGCCTTGGCATTTAGACCGAAAATAATCGTATTTCCCCCCAGGTACCGCCTAAAATAGATATCAGCTTCATCACTTTCAAAACAACTCTACRCACCTTTATTGACTGGGAAAAAAATACGATGTTCAAGCCGAATTGTACGAATGATAACTCGTCGAGTACAAGAATCGAAAACCAAACGGATAAAGAAGTGTTGTCCGAAGGAGTGCTCGCTTTTTTGATATCAATCCATRTCTTTTTAATGGGAACAACTGTCTTTGGAAATGCTATGATATGTGCTGCAGTTTATAAATTCAGAGCTCTACGAACGCCTTCGAATTTCATTCTTGCTAGTCTCGCTCTCTCAGATATTCTTATGGGAATCGTATTCTTTTGTAGACTTGTGATTTTGACGATTGGAAAACATTTCGACTTGGCTTGTCACACGACTTCAGAGCTCGCTTTCACCGACATATGTATAGTCTTACTTCATTTATGTGTCATCAGCATTGAGCGTCTCTTGGCAATAAAGTACCCTTTGCGTTATCCTTCAATAATCACAAAACCTAGAGCCATTTTTATTCTTTGTACGATCTGGAGCATAGCAATACTCGGAACAGTTGTTATTCCACATCTACAAGGTCACGAAATGGAAGGAATTTTGGAATTCCGTGAAGCGTTTCATATTTGCGTCTCTCCAGCACTGAATGTCGAGCTCGTTGGACTTCGCAAACCTTATATGATTTTCGTTATATCATTTTATTTCTACTTACCATTCTTAATCATCGTATTCAGTTATGGTTATATCTTTAAAGTCTCGATAGGACAAAGAAAACGAATGAAACATCTGCAGAACTCCTTCAAACGAGACACAAGGAGACGAAATATTGAAATGAAGGCAGCGAAAACACTTGGGCTTGTACTTGGTGTTTTCACAATCTGTTTTGTGCCTATATTCACTGGACTTATCTATCAGCAAGTTCGTAATGATTCACGCTATTCTGCCGAAGTAATGAGTCTGATGCGAATTTTAAGCCTAATAGCTTCTTTTTCAGCTTGTGTCAATCCTATTGTCTATACTTGGGGGAACTTAGAATTTCGAAAAGCCTTTAAAATACTCCTCACATTTCGACGAAAAGTTCCTTTAGACGTATCAGAAAAGGTCGCGTTTTCTACCACAGCTGGCTTAATAACGAATGCTCAATCTTCGGGGCAAAATAAGGTCTAAACTTTATCTTAATATAAGAATTAAAAAAAAGAATGGTCTTAAAAATCTTTTTGAAAAGAGAACGCTCTCGAAGGTGGTTAAAAATTTTTTGTTCCCTCTTGGACCCTCTTGGACCAAGACCAAAAACTCTCAAAATGTAGTATGAATAATAAAAAAAATATAATAAAATGYAAAATGCTTCAAATTGACTAAAGAAAATCTTCAATATTTAAGCTGTCTTTGAATAAATTAACTTGTAAATTAATAAACATGTAATACATTAGATTACTTGTTCCCCGTCTATAATGAATATTGGATATCGTAATAATTATCAAGGCGCTTCCCCGCACAGCGAGATATAAGTGGCGCTCCAAAAATAACTCGTGATATGTCTGTTGTTGTTTACTTCAAAAGTTACAAGAGTATTTAATAAATTATCGATGAAGATTATTAAATGCCTTGAAAGGGAAAGGAGGAAACCTTTGTGACTAGATGAACTGTAAGGAAATAATGAGAAGCCAATGCAGTGTTACGGCATGACCGTCCGTGGATATTCGTTTACGATAAGCATTGTTACTGGAAGCCATTTCAATGTCACGGCAGGTCGTGCCGTGTACGTATTGTAAGTCTGGCAGTACCGTATGTTTCCCACTCATACGATAACCATTCTTCTATGGGAAGCCATTTCAATGTTACGGCTTGTCGTACCGTGTACGTACTGTAAGTCAGTACCGTACATTTAACACTCATACGATAACCATTCTTCTATGGGAAGCCATTTCAAYGTTACGGCATGTCCGCGTACCGTGTTAGTGCTGTAAGTCAGTACTGTACCCACTCATACGATTACCATTTTAATGGGAAGCCATTTCAATGCTACGGCATGTCGTACCGTGTACGTACTATAAGTCAGTACCGTACGTTTCCCACTCACACGATAACCACTCTTATGGAAAGCCATTTCAATGTTACGGTATTTCACACCGAGTACGGGATTTCAGTACCGTACGTTTTCCATTCATATGAGAAAAAAATTCTTATGGGAAGACATTTCAATGTCATGGCATGTCGTACCGTGACGTACGTTCCCCACTCATACGATAACCATAGTATGGAAACCATTTAATGTTACATCATGTATTTAATTCATCAAGCAATTAACCTCTGTTTATTACACAAAAAATCGGCCAAAAAAATTTCCCCTAGCGTAGCCGTTCATAGAAGTACTTCATGCATTATACGACATTATAGACCGGCGATTAACAATACATTGGTCTGACTTCGTCAACTCAAGAAAAGGGTTTCATATTTAGCCAAACTGAGAACAAGTCACTTTGTTTCTTTATTGTATTACTATTTATAACTGAAATTTCTTAAACATTTTTGATTGTCATAACGTTATCTGYTTTAATTCAAAATTTTAATACAAAACTTTAATTAAAAAAACTTCCGTTAAAAAGTCAAAGAACTCTTTCGCAATACTTATCTTTACTGCTTCCATTATAAAGTTCTTTACGCCATTAAAGAAATCTTTGCTTCTTCTAACGGTTATTTTTAATGGTCGTTGTTAGGGTTTATTTTATTTTTTTCCTTCATGGTCTACGTCATCAATATTTTCTCATCATTTTGAGTTTTTCTTAAAACAATTACTTCGCACGAGAGATTGTTCTCTGTTTTCCAAGATTAAGCGCTGTATTCAAAGTTCAAAAGTTGTTTCTAAATTTAGCTCAGAGCTCACGTGGGTGTTGGATAAGAGAGCTCTCTCGGCGATGACTATCTTGCAAGTGTTATCAAGGTGCTTCTTTTAATACTACGATAAGTTTGACATTAACAAGCGAAGATCTCTTGGTAATGATATACTGTAAATAACAGTAGTCTTCAGTGTCGGACCCATGGATTTTAAAAGAGATGTTCCGATATTTTCGCTACGCAGAAAAAGCTTGCACGATCGGCTTCACAAAAGGGGGTTCCGATTTCATTCTACTGAGCGTTTTAAAGACTCGTCTTCACAAGGCCTCACGAAGAGGTTCCATGGAACCAAAGAAGTCACTCCTTGATTCCGAGAAGAAAATGATTACGCATTGAGCATTTTTGACGCCTTGGTGCAAGAATAAGAAGGCCTTGCTCAACATTTTTTTTAGAAAAGCCATTTTAGTGTTTAGGAATTTTGATACACAAATGAAATAAATACTGAAGAGGAGAAAGTTTATCCTCTCTATTCTTGAAGTGCATGTTACGTCATGGCCGCTTGGTTGACGATAACAAAGCATTCCTTATTTTAATAGCTTCTCTTGTTAAATCAACCAACATGGCGGCTGTTACATTGTTTTTTTATATCTCAAAGGATTTTGAATCATGTCCGCAGAATGAAGGTTAATCTATAGTAAATATGCGGAGAAAATTTCGGGACCCGAATGAGTCAGTCCGCCCAATAAAGGGTGTCCACTGTAAGTATAGATTCAAAAACCATTTGAGTTTATATGGTCTGTTTTGCCATTTACAAACGGTCGTTCAGGATTTACAAAAAACATTGGAATGCTTTAGTTTTTGCTTGCAATTCTCTAGTTTGACGTTTGACAATGCCAAATATTTGAGATATTTTGTTATCAACATTCGCATGTTTTTATGCATGTAATTAATTTGTTTCTCAATTAATCGCTAGAGAGGCGATGAAAGCTGTAACAGAAATCACGGCTGAGGTCTGCTAACCTAACCGTCGGTAGTTCACGCGTTTCCGCTTTCATTCGTTCGTGCGAAGCTTTCTTCCGTCGTTTCATGCATTTATCATTTCAGCCATCCATCCACCCATTTATCCATCCATCTATCCTTGCACCCATTTATGTAGTTATCCTTCCTTTCATTCCTTCCTTCCTTCCGTCCTTCCTTCCTTCCTTCCTTCCTTCCTT